GCCTTAGCTGCTTGAGCCACAGGCGTCAAGCCCCAGCTATTTTTTGGTGTAGTTATCATTCTTGTTTAGCAGGCCCAGGCCAGGTTTGAACCCATCAGCTCCGGTGTGTGTGGCTGGGGCACAGGCCACTAAGCTACAGCACTGAGCCATTCCTTTTCTCTCTTTCCCCTTGTCCTGCCTCCCCCCGTCAGGTCCTTTGAGCCTCCCTTCCTTTCTTCCTCCCCTACCACTCCCACCTTCTTTTACTGGTCCCCCCCTCTTTCCTCCCTCCTTCAACTATAGGTGATTTTGTCCCCCAGGGGACAGGTGGTAACATCTGTAGCCATTTTGATTGTCACAACTTGGGGGAGAAGGATGCTACTGGCATCTAGTGGTTAGAGTCCAGGGATGCTGCTAAACATCCTAAAATGCATGGGACAGCCCAATCACCACCATCATACACACACACACACACACACACACACACAGACACACACATATATCTAGCCCAAACTATCAAGAGTGCTGAGGTTGAGATACAGTGAATTAGAGATTTCCTGTCCTTAAATAGAGTTCCCTGCAGAAAATACTAAATCAGATGATGTCTTATCACCACCAATCACCACCACCACCATACATACACATTCACACACACACACAAATATCTAGCCCAAATTGTCAAAAGTGCTTAGGTTGCTCAGTGGTTAGGGCACTGGCCACATACACTGGGCCTGCTGGGTTAAAACCTGGCCCGCGCCTGCTAGACAACAATGACAACTACAACACCAACAATAAAATAGCCAGGCATTGTGGCAGGCGCCTGTAGTCCCAGCTACTTGGGAGGCGGAGACAAGAGAATCGCCTAAGCCCAAGAGTTTGAGGTTGTTATAAGCTGTAGCACCATAGCACTCTACCAGAGGCGACGTAGTAAGACTGTCTCAAAAATGCTGAGGTTGAAAAACACTGGATTAGAGATTTCAGGTCCTTAAATACAGTTACCTGAAGAAAATACTAAATTTGATGATGCCTAATCACCACCAATCACCGCCACCACCACCACACACACACAAATATCTAGCCCAAACTGAGTGCTGAAGCTGAGAAACAATGGATTTGAGATTTCCTGTCTTTAAATACAGTTACCTGAAGAAAATACTAAATCAGATGATGTTGAAGGAGTCCTGGAACTCACTCTAATTGAGACTATCTGACACACTCTAATAATGCTACTGGACCAATGGTTAAGCTCATCTATTTTCTGTCAGCTACACTTTCAGCAATTTAGCATTTTCCTGATCTTGCACCACGGTCTTGCAAGTAAATTTATCCTATTTGGGGCTTTTGTCCCTACAAATGAACTACAAAGTGTAAGAAAAACTGACACATAATTTATACTAAGTGCTAAGAATTAAGAAGAATGCAGCATTGAAGGAGGAGTAAAAGTCAGATGAAAGGACGTGAAGATCCCTTCTGGCTTAAAATGGATTCCATGACATGGCTCGAGGGTAAGGAGAATGGGGCAGAAACCTCCTCTACTACAGCCCAGGACAGGACTCTGAACTCCTACTTAAGAAAGAGAGATGTGTCCCAAGACAAGATACACAAAGCCTTAGTGACACCTCCTTGTTATCTGCCTCCTTTCCCAGCCAAGGCTCTATCTGCTCCCTCCCCGATCTCCCTAGAATTTCCGGCCGGAGGAGCCCTCATCAACAAACACACAAACACCATCTGCCGCCATTCCCGACACAACTCGCACTTTCCAAGTCTCAGCCCCGACTCTCCGTGGCTCTAACGATCCATTCCCCTCGCCAGGGTTACCGCCCCCTCCCCACACCTTTTCCTAATTTCCCTCCCGACCCCCAGTCACCGGCCTCAGCCCTTCCCCGCCCAGGCCTCTGTCCACTTACCAGATCTCCGCCCCCCATGATGGCGGGAACGTTTCCTCACTACGTGGATCTAGAAGACTCGGAGGAACGAAAGGAAATGGGAGAAAAGGTTCAGGGGCGACCTCGCAGGATCCGCTCCCAGGAGCCACCGGCTGCCACTTTCACCACCCGCTCTGTAGGCCACTTCCGGGAGGGGCTTAGATCGCAGCCCCTTGGCGTCGCAGAAAGATGACGTTTACTCTGTCGCACTATGCGACCGTAGCGTCACGTGCGATTTCCGCAAAGCTTCGGGCCCAGCTGTCGGGGACTCTGAGATCTCATTTTGGCTACTCTGCGTTGCCACCTTGCCTGAGGGCTTGAACTGTCGGTTGAAACGCCACAGCTCCGTTCAGTCACCTGTAGCCAAAGGCCTCCCCCCCGCCGTCTGCTGCGGTGTCAGCGCCCAGGGAAGCTCAACTCGCCTGTCCCGAGGAGACCCAGGAGCGGACGGCCTAGGCCGCCCCCGCAACGCCGCCCCCCTCTCAGCACATAACCTCACACCCTAGTTTTTCAAAATAGCTTTTCAAACCAGCTCTCTCCTCAAACTTTAATTCACAGCCATCCTCCTTATTCCAGGCCTATTTTACGGTGATAAAGAGAAACCATCAAACCAAAATCCATCAACTTCCCTGCGTCAAACTGTTAAAATCTACTAGCTTCCCATTAGGGAAGCGGGCAGATTCCTTTCCTTCTGGTTACTATGGGAGAGCCGTCCCTCCTGTGTATGGCGGCGCGGTTCTCCGGGTCTCATCCCTCACATCTCTTACTACTTGAGTCTTTCTTCCTCTGTTCTGTATCTCCCTCAATACTCTGTCACCGGGCAGCAGTTTAGACATGCTCACCTGATCCTTAAAAAGGAAAATAAAAAAAAGTTTTACGCTTCAGTGCTGCGATCCTTTCATCTTAACCAAACTGGAAATGAGTTGTCTCCACCCAAGGTCGGCTTGTACTTCAACTTGCGCTTAGCCTCATCATTCAACTATGTTTCTGCCGTTCTTTGGTAATCCCCTGTCTTTAAAATCAAATTGACAGGCTCTGTGCCTGTGGCTCAAGTGGCTGAGGCGCCAGCC